CAAAAATGAGATCTGAAAAAAATAACTGTATACTTTACCTAGAATGCTATTGCTCTTTAATACTGATATGGAAGACAGCAAAACAACATTGGAAACATTTTAATAACTTTGAGGATTGGGATAGTATCCTAGTATTCACCTACACAAAACATAAATTAGTTTTCTGAATCCCTTTAATCTGAGCAGAGCCTTATCTTGCTAGCAACTTTTAAGATTTGCATCTTGTACCAATGCTTTTTTGGTTTTCACTCACAACAGATGTACTAAATGCATTTCTTCTTTACGATGTACAGCACTAACTTTTTTTCCCTTCAGGACAAAAAAAGATTTCTGTTCTCATTTTAAATAATGACTTGTAGTCTGTGCTTAATAAAAAGAGGCTTGGCATTTTTGCTAATTCTTTTTATTTCCCAAAAAGATCGGTGCAGAAAGAAGCCATATTTTTGGTCAGTCCCCATGAATGCAAGAAAAACCAAAGCCAGGTTGTTGGCAGCAACAGTGAGCTTGTATAATAGCATAATCTGTTTTTCATCTGGAGAAGAGGAGAAACTGGGGCTCTGGTAGCTGTGCAGGATGGGACACAGAGAGAATTGCACTCTTTAAACCTGATAACTCATTTCTATGGCTAACAGCTCCAGGATTCTTCCTCCCATTCCAAGTCCTTTCTGGGCTGCTGTGAGATGGAAATCAACTCCTTACTGGAGATGGGTGGGAATACCAAGTAACCCCACCTCCCACCTAAAAGTGGACACGTTTACATGAATTGCAAAGCCCTGGAAATAGTATGCCAGCTGCAGGAATTCAAGCAGATTGCAAACCCAGCCCTGTTTACACACCTATTGATACGTCTGAGGGAGAAGGGGAGAAAGTGCAGCTGATTTATGGAAAATGAGGGAGACAAATGTTCCCTAGGCAGGGTGAGGGCTGCCTGGTCTGTGCAGTCTGAGAAGAGACGAAGGGAGCCACTGAGAAGTGGGAGCGGAGGAGGCAATAAATGAAATGAGGCAGCAGGGGCAATAAGGCAGGAGAGAAGTGAGGAAAGGGCTGAAGGGAGCATGTCGGCAGGAGAGGCGCGGCAGGACTGTGGGACACGCTGTTTGTACAGCACCGTACACTATGCCCCCCGCCCCATGCAAACAGCCGCTGTGCCCGCTAACCCAGGGGAAGGGCAGCAAGGGGCCGGGGGTAGCAGTGGGGGAGCGAGCCAAGTGCGCTCCCGAGGGCAGTGGGGCTGGGCCGCCGCGAGATTCAGGGCTCGCTGGGCCGCGGGAACAACGAGGGGAAGGGAGGGAGGCTAGGCTGAGGGGGGAGGCGGTGCCCCCAGCCCGCTGACTCACCATTTTGCAGCGTTTCGTGCAGCAGCAGGAGGCTCAGCAGGACCCACAGCCTCATGTCGGAGCAGACGCGGACAGGCCGTATTGCGGGGGGTGGACTCTGGAAAGTCCGCTGCAAAGCTCCCAGTGCAGGGAGGGGGGAGCTAGAGCCGGAGGAGGAGCTCGCCGGAGCTCACCGTCCCTGCACCAAGCGAGCTCCCCAGTATGAGCGCGCGGGGAAGGGCTGCTAGGGGAGCGCTCAGCCCTGCCACGCCCTAGGGCCCCTGGGCAGCTGCGGAGCAGGGCCATTCAGCATGCACATGAGAGCCGGGCAGGGGCAGGTCCGGTCCCCCCGAGATCACAGCCAGCGCCGACGAAACCTGCTGTGCCAAGCATCGCTCACCTGGGCTGCCCCAGCCTGCAGCACGTGGAGTGACCCTACGGCGCAGGGGTCTCCGGAGAGGAAGAATAAAACAGGGAGGCGTCGATCCCCGAACGCCGCTGGAAGCCTCCCGGGGTCAGAAGTTGGTAAACACATGGAATGATACCGGTTAGCGGCAGCGCGGGCCATATTGTGCGCCTGTGTCCCCAGCTGACTTTTCCTGCCGCCTGTCTATGCAACGCAGGCTTTAAATGCCCCAGACACTCAGGATTTAAACACCTGGTTCCACAGGTGGCTCACGCGCTGGATCCAGCCGCGGGGACGATTCCGTCCGGCCACTTACGCGCTCTGTAGAACTAACTGGCGTCCTCTGCACTGCGTGAGCTCGCCCCTGGTGCGCTCTACGGGCGGGGTCACACCGCAGGGATGACCCGCTGTTGTGGAGCCCCACTGGGGAAGGTTGCACAGCCGAAGCCCTGAACGTGTAGAATTGAACTGTCAGTGAGAGAACCGAGCTGGTGGCGTGAAGTCTGCTTGGGCATGAACTCCATCAGGGTGGAACAGCTTAGTGCAAAAATTGTTCAATAAAAACTTCTTGTGTGTCTTAGTAGTAGGGTTGCCATTGCCAACTTTCTAATTGCAGAAAACCAACAATACCATTGCCCCTCTACCCCTTCTCTGAGGCCCCGCCTCCGCGCACTCCATCCTCGGACCCTCCATCACTCACTCGCTAGGGTTACCAACTTTCTTCTAATCAGACAAAACCAAACACCGTAATCCCTCCCCTTCCCAGAGGCCCCGCCCCCATTTTAACATTCCCCCCTCTGTGGGTGGCTCGCTCTCCCCCACCCTCACTCACTTTCATTGGGCTAGAGTATGGGTGCAGGAGGGGGTGAGGGCTCTGGGGATGAGGATTTGGGGTGCAGGAGGGGGCTCCAGGCAGGGGGTGGGGCAGAAGGACTTGGAGTGTGGGAAGGGGTTGGGGTGCAGGCTGGGGTGGGGCCAGGGATGAGGGGTTCAGA